GATAGGCCACATGGTTCACATTCATACATTGGTCATACCAACTAAACATTAAACAATACGTATGGCATAGACAATTTTATAAGTAAACCCACCTGGATTACGGAGCAGTAGATAGCACACAAAAGCCGGTAGGATGAGAGCACGACTCGTCAAACCCCTACATTCATTAAGGATAATCCTATCAACAACTATCCCAACACTTAACTTGGTAAACTAATTTACCAATCTGAAGGATTTTCTAGCTTAAGGTTAACGACTTATAAAATATTTTTTTCAATTTTTATGATGTTGAAACTCTCGACTCGGGACTTTTCTCAAAATCTCTAAAAATTAGGCTCGAACAACCAAAAACTAATTTTCCACAAAATAAAATCTAAGGCACTTGAAAACGATTTTTCCAACATGTTATTCAAGACACAAAATGAGGGTATACCAGTCTTCAAAATTTCAAATAAGGCTGCCATATTAAAGTATTTCAAGACCACAACATAAAATATGACTTTCTTTTTATTTGCAAAAGCAAATAAATGAGGCTATAAAACATACTTCAAGTTTTGCAAATAAATGAGGCTATAAAACAAACTTCAAAACTCATTTCTACACTTATGAAAACCGAGGCTACCTGCTGGAACATTTTTACAAAATAGAAAAAGAAACAATTTTCAATATAAAGGCTCCAGCAACTTTTGAATTCCTCAAAATAAAATGACTTGATTTTCACTCAATTTCCCAAGACAAAAGTAATAACCCACGGCTGAGGTTAAACACGACAAAACGGGCATTATTTCCAAACAAAACTACTCCAAAATTTCTGAGCATATAAGGTACCAAACAACAACTTACAGAGGCTAACAATTTCAGTCTGAGAGTCCAACAATCATTTTAAAATAACGGCAAAATTGCATATAAAAGCACCACCTTTCATGTTTTTGCAATTTAATCACCACCTTTGCAATTTAGCAATTTAATACACCACTTTAGCTATTTCTTGCAATTCGAATCACAGGGCCCAATTTCGGGCCTGTTCTGGTGACGTGGCATTTTTGTGGTGACGTGGTGTTTCCACGTGTCAATGACGTGGCGTCTTTGGGCTGACGTGGCAGTCTATTTCAATTGAAAAAACAAAATCTGTATGCCTTACAGTAGGAGGATTTGAACTCTGGCCTCCAAAGGAGAAAGATAGCTATGCTACCAACTCACCCATCCATGTTAGTTAACATATTCAATATATAGGAATTACGTATGAATAAATTATATTAAATTTAGAATAATTAATTATATTATATTATATTAATTAAATATAAAATTATAATAAATGAAATTAAAAGAAAATAGAATAAATTAAGATAATTAAAATATAGAATTTTATTAATTCATATTTTGGGTTAGAGTAAACCATATTAATAATATTTAATAAATAAGATTTTTTTTATTTATCATTTCATAATAAGTTATTTTGTTTATTATTTTATTTTATTTTATTTGAATTCACCTTTTTTATACTTTATCATCTTATGTTATATTATTTTTATTATATTTTAATAAATATAACTTATTATGAAATAATAAATAAAAATAAATAAAAATCTTAAATAAATATAATAAATTAAAAAATATAATTTAAATAAATAAAATGTTAAATAATCGTAAATGAATAATAAAACAAAAAGTGTTATTTGTATATAAAATAATAAAATATTAAAAATCTTAAATGAAATAATAATTTATTATATAATAATAAGTTATTATATTTACTATAAATTTATTTTACATAAATAAATAAAAATATTAAATCAATATAATATTATTAATACGATTCATTCTAACACAAAATATGAATTCAAAAAATATATTTTAATTATCTTAATATATTATTTTTAATTAAATTTTATATAATTTAATTTAATATAATTAAATTATCTTTTAGATTTAATGTAATTAAATTATCTTTTAGATTTAATTTGATTTCTTCATACATAATGTGTATATATATAAAAGGTTATTACATTTAACAACTAAGTTGGATTGGTGTGATGGTAGCAAAGGCTGCCCTTCAACCCTTTTAACCCAGGATGGCAGGATCGAATCCTATATAGGGCGTGCAACATTATTTTTTTTTAATTGACACATGGGTCGCCATGTCAGCGCAAAAATGCCATGTAATTGACACGTGGAATGTCATGTCAACAAAAAAATGTCATATCAGCAAAACGGGCCGCCACGTCAACAGAATAGGCCCGAAGTTGGGCCCTGTGATTCAAATTGCAAAAAATAACTCAAGTAGTGTATTAAATTGCTAAATTGCAAATGTTGTGATTAAATTGCAAAAAAATGAAAGGTGGTGCATTTATATGCAATTTTGCCTAAAATAACTTTCAAAATCTCAAGAATAACTTTTATAATTGAACATATAATATAAATTGAACCTTAAGCATATAATATATCCTTCAATTTAATTCACGAAATTAAAGAGAAGGTTAAGCCATTTTTACCTTCTTCCGGGATTTACCAATCGGCTCGAAAGAAAAGGGAAAACAGAGCCTCGGCCACTCGAACTCGACCTCGGCAAAACTCGATAAAACCCGTATTTACAAACCAGTTGTTGGAACTCTTCTTGCACTTACGGGGCTGCTCAAATGCGGGTTGAAAGGAACCAACCCACTGCTACCCTCGACGAAGGGCTCGAGATTCAGCTTCTGCTGAAAGGGAAAACGCCCGGCAATTGTTTGTCTCTAAAGTGTGTCGCTGCCGACATCATAAAAACAATCACTAGCTGAAAAAGAAACGAGCCACTGCTCGCGGGAGGAAGTCACACGACTAAAAACGTTGCTGTTCGGGGTCTCCGGTTGCTACTAGTGCCGAAGAAACTCATCGAAAGAAGCACGCTGCTGTTCGGGACGCTAAACGAAGGCCGACAGGGGTTGACAACTGGAACGGGCTCGACAGTGTGCTGTCCGACGAACTCGGCTTTGGCTTGACGAATGGGGCTCGCAGTGGACTGAGGCTCGCGAATGGAGATGCAGCGGGGTAGGTCTAGAAGATGAGACAGAGGTCATGGTGGGACCTGCTAGTCGTGAAAAAAAGACCTCCAGATGGCCTACTACACACGGCTCTTCTCGACGGTGAACGACAGCCGACAGGGACCTCCGGCACAGCTCAGTTCACGGCGAGGGCTGCTCGAATTATTGCCGGCGAACGACGCCTGCGAGAAGAAAGGAACTCGCCGGTGATGGAGGGGATTCTTCGACGAGTTCTAAAATTTGAACAGGGGCTAAGAACTTCACAGCCACGTTCTCCTCCTGGCGGGATTGATGATTCGCAATTTGAGGAGGAGGGTTAGATTCATCGACTGGAAATTTGGAATTTTGAGGTGAAGGATTTCTGGTCTCGGCTGTTGCTTTGTCATTCTCTCGAGCGGACAGAGAAACGAGCTACATCGATGGTGATTGATGGCGAAGGATGCACGCGAAGAAAAAAATTGCAATGGAATTCCTCTGCTCTGCTCAGGGGCGGAGCTAGGATTTTAAAATACCCGGGGCTATGAAATTGCGATGATATGGTCCCACCTTAATATAAGCTTCTCTCATTTCATCCATTGGATCGACGGGATATTTCCATATTGGAGTATGTAGTGTCGGATCACGTTCAAAAGAACTCATATCAATTGAGGGCAACATCATCATTAGAAGAAACACGATCTATGCTTGTCGACTTATGCTCTTTTGGCTTAAAGAACGAATTAATAGTATTTCTTTTCATAGTACCACCATCCATTATAATTAAAACCTATCAAGTTAACATAGTAAATTAATCAAGCATTTGGATTATAAAAGCAATCTAAAATATACGGAATAAACAAATAGAAAAGATAATCAAGAATGATATGTGGGTTTTGTACACAATCTTATTATGAAGGCCAATCAAGTATCCACACCTTTTAAAAATATTGAGTACATGATCAACAAGCCTTAACACATATAATTAAACTAAAAACATGTTATCATCTCTACTTCAACATAAATTTAGAACTTTTGACCAATGCTTTGAAAATTGAATCGGTCATTGAACCAGTAAAGCTACTGGTTCACTGGTCCAACCAGTGGTTGAACTGGTATTTAATATACATATTTATATGATAGTTAATAGTAATTTAATATATATTATAAACTATAACATTATAAGTTATAACTATTGTAATTACATAAATAAAATTAAAACAAAATAGTTGATAATAATCTTTTATAAATATAATAATCAAGCCCCAAATTCATTAACACACATGGCCCAGCCTACTATCAGAACTCAAATCCATTTACTAACCCTGTCAATTTACAATACATCTTCAATTCTTCATCGTCTTTCATATCTCACCACTCGCATAAAGTAGACCAAAAAAAAAAAAAAATTGAAATAATATTCTTCTCCTCCTAAGCTACAAAACCACATCATGAATTTGAAGTTAAAATTCTCTTAAGGGCATAGCACTGATAACATACGAAGAAACACCCACCACATGAGCATGGGTCGCGGGCGGATGAGCAAAAGTACCATACCTGTAGAATACCATAAGATGGGCATAATTTCAAAATAGGTCCTATAATTTGGCCACTTTCCAAAAAACCACCCCGCCATTGGCCATTTTCATTTTTGGTCCTATAAATTGTCCATTTAATCAAATTTGGTCCTTTTCTAATCAAATTTGGTCCTATAACTTGATATTTTGGTCCTTTTGTAATCTCATTTTAATCCATATTCTGGATAAAAAGGACCAAATTTGATTAAAATATCAAATTATAGGACCAAGTTTGAAAGTGGCCAATGACGGGGTGGTTTTTTGGAAAGTGGCCAAATTATAGGACCAATTTTGAAATTATGCCCCATAAGATGGCACCCGCACACCGATCTCGCTTCCTCGATTCTTCGCAATCGCTGCACTCACACACCGATCTCGCAATCGCCGGCGCCGGATGGAAGATGTCTCGTTCACCGCTTCAGAGCTTGAAAGAACAAGGGTGAGAATAGAGGGGTTTGAAACTTGCAGATTACAAATTAACATAGTCTATCAATTAGTAGAGCTCGTCTATTTTGTGAGAGAAGAAAAGTGAGATTTATACTGGTTCTAACAAGTCCAACAATGAATTTCAATTTTTTTTTTGGGCTGTGTTTTTGTTTTGTTGGGCTAATTCAAGGCTAACAAGAAATTTACACAGGGCTATTTCACAATAACAATCTCATAAGTAAATTAACTTCTTTCTTTATTTTTTTTTTACCTGGGGCTGGAGCCCACCCTAGCCCATGGGTGGCTCCGCCCCTGGCTCTGCTGCTCGTGGATATATTAGAAGAATGAGACGAAGATTTGGGAAGAGGCGTGAATAAGGGTTTGACTGCGTGAAAAAAAATGAGTTGGGTAAAATCCCAAAATTCCGGGGGTTTTGTTTAAAGGGGAGGGTCAAACACACAAATTATTTAAATGACTCTTTTGAAAAAAATATTTGTTTAAATAACCTTTCCATTAAATAAAGGTAAATTAAAAATTTAAATACCTAAAATAACTTTACATATTAAATGACTATAATACCCTCTTTGTATTACCAATTTTGTATTAAAAAAAAAAAGAGTTTGATCGTCGCTTGTTTCTCTCGGTCTCTCTCTGGCTCTGTCTCTCTCGGTCTCTCTCTCGTGTGCTCCCTCTCTGTCGCTCCATCCTCTCTTCTCTTGGAAAGGTAAGAAAAAAAATATGATCATTACACATAAACTTTTGATTCCATATTGCAAAATAAATGTAGTTATTGTACAGGATCAACAATTCAAGCATGTTAGGGTTTGATGTTATTTTAGATATAAAGCATTATGGTTCATATTTTATTATTTATAAGCATGTTGGTTTTATATTTATCATGTTTTTGTGGCATTGAGGTTTTTTTTTTATTTGTTTGTACATAACGAATATACAGTCGTTATGTAGTTTACATAACGACTGTACATTCGTTTTTATGAAGATATGTCATAAAAAATTTAGATGTGTTATATAATTATTTCATAGTGAATGTAGTTTACATAACCAATGTATTTTCGTTTTGACATATCTCAATGTAGTTTCCTTATAACATATTTGAACGTAGTTTCGTTACTTTACTTTGATATGCATGTTGGTTTCATTGTGGTTTTCATGTTTTTTGTGTCATCTTCTATTTTTTTATATGATGTTGCATTTGAAATTGCATAACGAATATATAGTCGTTATCCATTGTCGTAACGAATTTCTATTCGTTATTTGATGATTTTGTCATAACGAATGTAGATTCTTTAGTTGATTAAATTATAACTAAAATTGTACTTTCGTTATGACAAAAATAGTTGGTTATATATAAATTGTAAAGAGTAAACTTAAGAACATTGTATATTATCTCCTATGTTAGTAACATGTGTTTCCACAATTATCTTGTTGAATTGAACTAACATATATATTTTTTTTTCTTGTAGATATTGATTTTAGCAAAGATGGTGTGGATACAAGTATGCTACTATGTTGAGTTTAAAAATAATACGGATGACACTTGGACGTGGAGATATGTGAATGAAGATGAAAAGAATATCGGAGTTATTTTCGTACGCAACGACATATCTTTCTTGGAACTTGAAGATGCGGTCATGAAGCTCATAAAGATCGATAGCATCTCACACGTAATTGAATTGCGATCACTGAACCCAAGAGTGATGAAACTTCCAATTCCCCCTGTGAAGATCGATTCTGATGACACAGTCAAATGGTATATATCTATTTGTGACAATCATCCTCTTTGCGTAACACTTGTCGAAAAACTTGTTGAGGAAGAAACGAACAATGTTGAAGTTGAAAAAAATCTTGAAGTTGAAGAAGAAACAAACAATGACAATTTAGAGACGATCGAAACACTTACGTGGGAAAATGAAATTACCGAGCCACTCGAAGATAAATGGGATATTATGGTGGAGAATAGAGATAGTCCTATGGAAACAAATGTTGAAGTTGAAGATGAAAGAGGAACCACATTGTTGATAGAAGAGGCGCGTGAGAATTTTTCAACACAATATGCCATGGTTGGAAATGCTAGCTGCTCTATGAGTCCTCTTCGTTTTCCATCTTCTGTGATGATCCCAGAGAATGAAGATGTGCAATGTAACAATATCTTCTCAACCAAAAAGGACTTGGTAGATAAAATTTTGTTGTTGGTCGTGAAGTACCACTTTGAATTTCGAGTGGTAAAATCAACGAAGACCTTATATGTTGTTGCTTGTGTTGAAAGAAATTGTCCTTGGCGTTTGAGAGCGGTTAAGATAGATAGTGGTGAATTTTTTGTGGTACATAAGTATGTCGGTAATCACACTTGCTCTATGAGTGTGCGTCATAAAGATCACAGGCATGCGACGTACAAGCTGATTGGGAAGCACATTTCCGAAAAGTATAAAGACGTCAATCGGATTTATAAGCCGAGGGATATTATTTTTGATGTCCAAGAGAAGTTCGGGATAACAATCAGCTACACAAAAGCATTTATGGCAAAGCATCATGGATTTGGTCTCATTCGAGGTTGCCCGGAAGAAAGTTACGCAAAGCTCCATTCATATTGCTACTATTTGGAGCAAACAAATCCTGGACGATCACTTTCATCGAAACAAGTGTGGACGGCCATTTTAATTTTTTTTTTCATGGCTTTGGGGCAGTGCATTCGTGGATTCCGCTCTTCTATCAGAAGAGTAATATCTGTGGATGGGACGTTCTTAACAGGGAGATATCGTGGTACTTTACTCATTGCGACATGTCAGGATGCAAATCTTTAAATTTATCCACTGGCTTGGGCAATAGTAGACTCCGAGAACCATCTTTCTTGGACTTTCTTCTTTGAAAAGTTGAAAGATATAACAGGTGATTTTCCAGATCTTGTTATAGTTTCGGATAGGGGAACAAGTATTCCTGGTGCTTTTGTTGAAGTGTTTGAACATGCACATCACGGATATTGTAACTATCACCTGTTGAGAAACCTAAAATTGGAGTTTCCAAGGTTGGAATTAGACGCATTGTTTAGGGCAACAGCCGAAGCCTACACGATGTCTCATTTCGAAAGCAACATGGCAGCATTATGCAACAAGCATAAGAATATGCGGGAATACCTCAAAAAAACCGAGTTGCACCGTTGGGCTAAAGCACATTTTAGAGCAACGAGATTCAACATAATGACTACAAATAATGTTGAATCGTTGAACTCTGTGCTAAAGCGTGCTCGAGAATTTCCTATCCTTGGTCTGATTGAACATATTTGGGTGACACTTCAAAGGTGGTTCTATGAAAGAAATCTTAATTCTACAAAATGCAGTAGTATTCTTACGCCACCATTTGAGCAGAAGATGCGCAACAGTTACAACGAGTCCAATGGACTAGAAGTGCTCAATGTGTCCCCGATGATTTTGCAAGTTGGTGGAAGGCATATAGTTGATCTCGAGGAAAAGTTATGCACTTGTCGGAAGTTTCAAGTGGATATGTTTCCATGTGCACATGCTATTGCCACGATAAGATTTGAGAATGGCAACGGCTACACATTTTGCACTGGAATGTATTCGAGCACTTCTTGAAGAGAGGCATACTCTGAACCCATTCACCCTGTGCCTAGTGAGACCGATTGGAAGGTTCCAGAACAAATTATGTCAAGAATTGTGTTGCCGCCACTATCACGACGTCCAAGGGGCAGACCTACATTCGAACGAAAAAAGTCAGCAGGTGAGGCTCGAAAAAAATCAACTTCTAAACCTCGCCAAATGCGTAAATGTAGCAAGTGTTCAAAACCCGGCCATAATCATGGAAAGTGTGAGGAGATTAACCTCAATCAAGTGACGTGAGGTTATATTTTCGACTAGTGTATTGCTTTTGACTTATAGTATTTTCACTTTTGGTATAGTGTTTTGACTCGGTTATATAGTTGCTAAAACTTGAAATTTTATTTTGACTTGTGTATAATGTTTTATGTATCCAATGTAGTGATTATGATTGCTAAAAAAAATGTAGTGATTATACAAATATTTTTACAATGTAGTTGGGAACGCCTATAATATCGTTTTATAGTATTATATAGTAGTATTACACTAAAAAAGACTATAAATATAAATATAACTAAAGTATAGTCGTTATCAATATCGCGGGCGCGACGTATGTCACGCGCGCGACACGTTGATCTTATTTTCTGGACAGAAAGTTGTCCAGGACGTCGCGGCCGCAACGCTCATCGCGGGCGCGTCATATGCGATTGTCGCTAGCGCGATACGTGTCGCGGTCGCGACACCAAATGTGGACCTACAGACCTGCGCGACGGCCTGTCGCGGTCGCGACAAGTAGGCTGTCGCGGGCCTTTTATTTTTTTTATTTTTTTTTTCTTTTGTAGTCGCGACGAAACTCATTTTGTAAAATAATGATACTTGTTTCCTTGGTCATATACGTGTTAACGATTGTATGTTGGTCATATAGCAAATTGGAACGAAATGTTTAAATAACACTTTTTTTTTTTAAAAAAAAAAAAAATAGAAATATGATGTAAAATGTTTGTAAATTCGTTATTTTACATAAAAAAAAAAGAGTAAAACTAGACCAATAACGAGTTTAATATCTCTATAATTTATTATATGACGAATGCATGATCGTTAAAGGTGGAATTGGTCGAAAAACCACTATAACAAATGTACAGTCGTTATTTCTATTATATAACGAATATACATTCGTTATAGTTGTTTTTCGACTAAAACGAGCTTTCTTTATGGTTTTTTCGATCGATTTACTTGATAACGCATGTATATTCATGTTACATGTGATTGATCGATAGTTTGAAGTTGTTAGATCGTCGAAAACTTCATCACGGAACAATTTTCTTCAAACAACACTTGTTGTTTTTTTTTTTTTTTTGAAAAAAAAATGGAAATATGATGTAAAATATTTCAAAATTCATTATTTTAACTTGAAAAATGACTAAAATTTGACCTCTTAGGAGTTTATTATCTTTATAATGTATTATATGACGAATGCACGATCTTTAAAGGTGGAATTGGTCGAAAAACCACTATAACGAATGTACAGTCGTTATTTCTATTATATAACGAATATGTTGGGTTCAATATACCGTACGGAACAGAGTTTACTGCGGAATTTAAAATTTTTATAAGTATTTAAATTATAAATACTTATTCCGTACATAAGTATAACGATATAACGAATAAGCATCATTTAAAATCTAGTAACTTTTACTAATTTTGATTTGATATGTAATTCACAAAAATTACCTTTGTTCTTGAACTCCTTCAAAACCGACGATGTATGAGGAAATCAATTCCCGGTTTGGTAACGATCACTTCTTGTGGTTACTCACTTTAGGAATCCAAATGTCTTCCCTCTAATCGTATCCACCTTTTGAAGTCCGGTTCTGACAATAGTTCCTTCGCTAGTAGAAACTACTCGGTTTTATTCAATAAGTATGGAATATATATTTATAAGGAAATTTTTCAAGAACACTTTCTTGTATTATCACTCAACTCTTTGAATGAATTTTTCTCTTGGAAGAATTTAGCTCAAAAACTTAGCCATTTATGTGCAAACATTTTGCACCTATTTATACTAAACATTTTAGCATAAAATAATCAATATTTGATATATTTTATTTTAAATAAAATCAGATTTTATTTAAATAATCATACT